AGATAGATAGATAGATAGATAGATAGATAGATAGATAGATAGATAGAGATAGGTATAGATATAAACAGATTGATACATAAATAGATAGATAGATATAGATAGATATAAACAGATAGATAGATAGATAGATAGATAGATAGATAGATAGATAGATAGATAGATAGATAGAAACAGATAGATAGTAGATAATATTTAGAAAGATATATTAGGTTTAGTTAATGGAGGAGTTTACTTTTCTAAGTCAATTTTATGGTGGTATTTTCTTTTCAAATCTATAGTAGCTGCCACCATCTGACATATTTCCTTATGTGAAAATTCCTATTTTTCCTCTATACATTCTCCTTAAAAGAAATACTACCATATGTTTAAATGTCATTTAAAAAGAGATGAGATAATTATAGAGACTTCTTCATATATAATTTAATTAACATGACCACAAGTTTTTTTTTTTTTTTCTTGCATAGCTTTGTTATGTCCCATGCACACTGAAACAACACTATGTCGAATACATGGGTTTGTGTACTCACTCTTTGATATGAAAATGTGACCTCAGAATGGTGAAAGCAATCCATGTGTCACATAAATGGTCAAATGCTGTCTTTAGGAAAGTGGTTTTTTTATTTCTCTTCTGAAGCTAATATAGTTACTGCCATATTTAGTAGTATCTCGTGAATTACATGTATCACTACTTAATAGTTACTAATTTACATTCAATTACATTACCACAGCAATCATATTTTTTATTAAATACATTAACAATGATAGGAGAGTAGTATTTCTGTAATTTTCACATCCATAGTGTGCCAAACAGTGGACTTTCAAATAAACTTTCCACTAAATATTTCTATTTAGAATAAAATTAAAACTTACATAATATTATTCCAAATAAGTAAATGTGCAGAATACACATTTACTGACTAATACATGAGATTATTTTTCAGCTGATAGAGGATTTGGGTTCAGCTATCCATGTGTGTGTGGTGTTCATTTTTTTTCTGAAAATAAATGTATGGTTTTCACTAACTATGGTGCATACATTAAAGTCAAAGGGGAAATAGTAAATTCATGTTGTTGTGAAAGAAATGTAAATATTATCAACGTTTATTTTGCTGGTAAAAAAATGTTAATGTTGGTGAAAATTTCCAAATGTTTATATATGCTTTGGTCCAGAATTTCCTTCTGTGATGCTTTTTTGTTTTTATTTGTATGTTCATGTGGTATGCATGGGTTTTTGTATGTGTATTTGTGTGTATGTGGGCACACATGTACCCTAATGTGTATGCACATGTGTGGAAGTGCTTGTGGGGACATGAATATCAGGCGTTTTAGGGATTAACCATTTTCCTTAGCCCTCTCTTCCTTCCATCTTCTCTTCCTTCCTTCCTTTCTTCCTTCCTTCCTTCCTTCCTTCCTTCCTTCCTTCCTTTCTTTCTTTCTTTCTTTCTTTCTTTCTTTCTTTCTTTCTTTCTTTCTCTTTCTCAAGTAGCTCAAGCTTGTCTCCATCCTGTTATATAAGTTAGGATGTCCTAGTTGCCTTATCTTCTAGCTTCTGCCCCTCAGATACTGGGGTGACAGGCATGTGAGACCATGAGAACCTTCATTAGAATATTTTACTGCTCTTTTCTTGTTGTTACGGTCGTTGAAATTGTTTTTACTGTTTTATTGTGCATTAGGAAATATTGAAATTGAAACTATGGGAATATAATGAAATATATTAAATATAAATATTAAATCTATATTAAATATAAATATTAAAAATCTTCATATTTAATATATTAAATATAATATTAGTTTTATGTTTATCTCTAATATTTAATATAAATATTAAACATATATTAAATATAAATATTATAATATTTAATATAATATTTAACATAAATAATATTAATTAAAATTAAAATAAATATTAATATAAACATAATATTTAATATATTAGTTTTATATTTATTTTTAGTATTTAATATAAATATTAAAAATACATATTAAATATAAATATTTTAACATTTATATTTAATATATTTCATTATATTCCCATAGTTTCAATTTATATTTAATATATTTAATTATATATATTATTTAAATATATAATATATTTAATTATATTCCCATAGTTTCAATTAAAAATATAAATATTTTAATAGTTATACTTAATATATTAAATATAATATTAGTTTTATATTATATCAAAATATATTAAATATATAAAATATTTATATTTTTATATTTATTTATAATATATATACAATTAATAATATATAATTATACATATTTTTATATTTATAATATATTATTTATAATATATAATATTTATATATAATATTTTATATATGTAATACATTTTAATATATTTTAAAATATATATTATATATTTTTATATTTAAATAAATATATGTTTAATATATATTTATATATTTATAAATATATATAATATATCAAATATATTATGTATTATATTTAGTATATTAATATATATGATATATTAATATATTAAATACTATATATTTTAAAAATATAAAAATATATTAAATATAAATATTAGTTTTAATATTTATTTCAAACACCAATTCTCTAAAGAAATAATAACTACAAATCTGATACCTAATATGGTAATGAGCTGTATCAGTTATCAGTTGGGGTCAGTTGCACACAGCAACGAAATGAACTGTGAATAACTATGTCAGCTCATCTTCCCCTCTCTACCAAATCTTTGTCCTTGGTCCTAAACAACAGAATCCTATAAGGTAGGCATTCTTGGTGTCCTTTGTTGAGATCTGCCCTCCTAATAACCTGGCCTAATTCTTAGAATAATATTATAGTAATAATATTAAAGTAATAATATTATAGTATCTTTGTTGTTACAGATTGTTAGTCTAAAAGTAAACTAAATATTGAATTTAAGAAGAAGAAAGGAGTGAGTATGCATCTTGAAACATCTAGGTTTAGTATAAATTTTGTAAAACATAAAATGCTCCAATTAATTACATCAGAGATCCTAAAGATTGTTATGAAAGGTGTAGAATACTAATCAATTCCTTAAATTTTGAGATTCCATATTCACAAAAGCTTTGTTTTTTGAAATTGTATAGTCAGATAATTTTCTTTTTTAATTCATTGTTTAATTAATTACAGTTTATTCACTTTGTATCCCAGCTGTAGCCCCTTCTTTCATCCCCTCACAATCTCATTCTCCATCTCTCATCTCCTCCCATGCCCCTTCCTAAGTCCAATGATAGGAGGGATCCTCCTTCCCTTCCCTCTCACCCTAGCCTATCAGGTCTCATCAAAACTGGCTGCAGTGTCTTCCTCTGTGGCCTGGTAAGGCTGTTTCCCCTCATTTTCTTAATGATAGTTTTTGTTTTTTTGTTTAGTAAAATTGATCTTTTATTTCTCAAAGAAGAAAATGAAATAATTTTTGATGTTATTTTTCTCATATTAGAATATTTGAGCTATTATAAAAAGTAAACAAACAAAAAAAAACTACCACCTCCCTGAAATTTAACAAGTGGAATGGTAATACAAATATTTCACAAATCATAAAATTTCATATTGTCACAATTGTTTCTTCCATATTCTTGCCCTGAGTCTTGAATGTTCTTTTTTTTTTAATTTTTAATTTTTATAGTGCAGGGAGTTTTATGGAAGAAAAGAAGGGTGGGAATAGAGTGACGTGGAGGAAACAGGAGCCCTCTAGGGGACCCAAAAAACTAAAAGATCTGGGCCCAGGGAGGTCCTGCAGATACTGATCCATGAATGGAGGACCATGCATTGAGAGGACCTAGACCTTTGCTAAGATATGGTCAACTGGCAACTCATTCTCCATGTGGGTCTCTGAGTAAGGGGATCAGAGATGCCTCTTTCAGAACCTCAGTTGATTGCTGTTTGATCACTTGCCCCTGGTGATGCAGCCTTGCCAGTCCATGGAGGAAGAAGATGCAAATAGTCTTGATGAGACTTAACAAGCTATGGGCAAATGGCTTGTGGAGAACTCCCCCTTTCAGTGGACTAGGAGAAGGGGATTGGGGGGGAAGGAGGGAGGATGGGACTGGGAGGAGTTTAGGAGGGGGCTTCAATCGGGATATATAACGAATAAATTGTGAAGAAAAAAATTAAAATTAATGACAGTTTTTAAATAGAAATTAAATTTATGAGTTAAAATGTTAGCGATTACTTTCTCTACTTGGGATTGTAAACTAGTGCTGGCTGTTTAAAATTGATGTTGCAAACTTGATCACTTCATTTGTCTTCAAAGGGCTTCAAGTTCTCCTTCCGGACTATCTTCAGGAACGTTTTGTGCAGGCAGCCTTGAGCTACATTGCTTGTAATTCTGAGGGGGAGTTTATCTGCAAGGATAATGACTGCTGGTGCCACTGTGGTCCAAAATTCCCAGAATGCAACTGCCCCTCCATGGACATTCAAGCCATGGAAGAGAATCTTCTTCGAATAACTGAAACATGGAAAGCCTACAACAGTGACTTTGAAGATTCAGGTAAAATAGATATTTTACTATCCTAATCTCAGTCTTGCCCCTAAAATATGACGAAAGAACTGCTCTCTCCCTTTGAAGCAATGTTTCATTTCATAGTTGGAAGGGTTCGCATTTTCCTTATTCTTTCGATTGGACAGTTATACTGCATTCGTTTCAGCTCATTCCATGTTTTACCAAGGGTTTTGGTGTTTTGTGTATTGCTTATATGCTATTGGTATCGGAGCACAACCAGCTGTTGATTTGAAGTCAGCTTTTATTAAGAAATTGGATTGCCACTTTACATTGCCAGATTGTGATTTAATGTTCTTCATGTTTCTCTACAATTCTTTGGACCCCTTGAGTTTCATTTGTGAGGAAAACGTTGTCAGCATGTGCTGTGGGCCTTCACAGTCACGTCATTCTCATGACATCTCACTTTAATTTGACCATATTTAGAGCAAGATACAAAATTAACTCAAAAAAATCAGTAGCCCTCCTGTATACAAAAGACAAAAGGCCTGAGAAAGAAATTAGGAAAACAACACCCTTCACAATAGCCACAAATGACATAAAGAACCTTGGTGTAACCCTAGCCAAGCAAGTCAAAGACTTGTATGAAAAAAAATTTCAAGTCTCTGAAGAAAGAATTAGAAGAAGATATCAGAAGATGGAAAGATATCCCATGCTCATGGCTTAACATAGTAAAAATGGGCATCTTACCAAAGGCAATCTACAGATTCAATGAATTTCCCATCAAATTATCAACACAATTCTTTACAGACCTTGAAAAAAAATTCTCAACTTCATATGGAGTAACAAGAAATACAGAATTGCTAAAACAATCCTCTACAATGAAAGATCTTCTGGAGGTATCTCCATCCCTGATTTTAAGCTATACTATAGAGCAACAGTAATAAGAGTACACTTTTTAAAAATACTGACCTTAAAACATTGCATGGTTAAAATATTCCTTGAAATAAAATAACATTATTTAAAAGACTATCTATCTATCTATCTATCTATCTATCTATCTATCTATCTATCTATCTATCTATCTATCTATATGTATATATACATACGTATGTATTTAAAAGACCATGTATATATCTATACATAAATATATATATATATATATTACATGTATATATATGAATACATGTATTTATGTGTATATATATATATATAGGTGGTCTTTTAAATATATATATAGCAACACAAACAATATTAATTCTAATGTAATATCAGTGGTATAATTTAGTCAAGTTGTGCAAGTCATCATGAAACTCAAACAATCAAAGTGAAGCATGACGTTACACAACAACAAACAAGTAGAACTGGGGAGGATGGATACATTGAGGTTTATTTTTATCAAAATAAAGAATAAAGACTTGGAAGTAGATACTGGACATTCAATTTCAAGAGGATATTTGTTTACTATCACACGATTTCAGTTAGACACAAAGAATAAGATTAGACAGTGATTACTTAGGATTATGAAGGCAAGAATAAAAATATGTTTGGGTATTGGAAAAAGTTTGAGAGAAAACTCCTATTATTATCACCTAAAATGTCTGAATTACTGTGAGGAACAATGGATACTTTACTTAGTATGATTTAGTTACTCCATATTAGTTTGTACATCTTTTAAAATATTTATTTTATTATTATTATCAATTTTTACAATTTATTCAATTAGTATCCTAGCTGGACTCCCTCCCTTGTCTCCTCTTAATTCCATCCTCCCTCCCTCTTCTCCCTTTATGCTCTTCCACTATGCCATTGATAGAGGAGGTCCTCTTCCCCTTCTATCTGACCCTAGCCTATCAGTTCTCATCTTAATAATAAATTACATGTCATAATAATGATTGTCAGTTTGTAGTAAAATATAATTTAAAAAGTAACAAAGATGTGTTAGAAGGGTAGATTTGACAACAGTAAGGGTAAGAATAGAAATGATAGAGAAATGACAAATGAGCACCCGAGTTTCTGCAAGTGCTTTTCTTTGGGGCACATTTATCAACTCACAGCAGATTCCAAACCCAAGAGACCTACTTCGTCCCTAGAAAATGTTTCTGCTTCAAGGCAAATAACCTCAACAAATGCCTACAGCCCAATTATGTTATAATGACTATACTGAGAGTGCAAAGTAGGTAGTAAGTATTTATATTCTTTTTTTAACTTCAATCTAGATTTGAAAGCTGATGATTAGATAAACTAATAATGCCTGAAGGAGTCAAGAGAATCTCATACAATGGCATGCCACAAGAGAAAAAAAATTTGAAATTAAATGTGTTCTAAGGTTATTTCAGAAGGAAAGGTATTAAATAAAGCATGATTATAACTTTGATTTTGACTTTAGGGATTTTAAAATGATCAGTTCTTGTAGTGATTATTGAACATAGAACATGTTAAGAAATAAAATACTGGTCTATTGAAGATGAAAATAGTTTCTAATACATGCATGAAAGATATAAAATTTTATTAGTACTTTCTTGACTGAACAATATATACTGCACAATATTAAGAAATGTCACCCCATAGATAGCAATCAGATTCACATGCAAGCAGACCTGTGCGCGCGCACACACACACACAGAGAGAGAGAGAGAAATTAATTATACTTCTAGTCTCTCTTTCTGTTTAATTGAGCCATTTACTCACATTTTATTCTAATCCTGTGCTTCATTGTTTAGTTCAGATTTGAGTACTTTTTAAGTTATATAAACTGCATGCTTCTTTCTTTTTGCTCAGGTTGTCTTAATTATTCATCATGAACGTGTGTGTGTGTGTGTGTGATAGAGAGGGAGAGAGTTCTATATGATAGACAATTTTACACACAAAACTCTTAAGAATATGGCTGTCTACACCAGACTTATACAATGACAATAGCACTGCGCCTTCCAATATTATTGAGAAAATATCTCATAAGGCCCCCAAATTGGTTTTAAAGTGCAGACAAATAATGGCTGTTGAGAGAAATATTAGTCTTCTCTTGAGACAAGCCCCTAATAGTCTATTGCTGAGTGGTCAGTCCTGAACATATATATATATATTTTTTTTTCATATATATATATATGAAAAATACTAAAAACACTCAGCAAGTCACAAATTACATACATATATACATATAAACCGTCATATATATGATGTATGTATGTGTGTACATTTGTATGTGTGTAAACCAGTATATGCATATATACATATATATGACTGTGTGTAATGATAATATTAACTAAAGAAGAATATGTCATGAATTGGGGACAACTTGGTGCCAGATGCAGGAGGAGTTGAAAGGGGGAGTAGAATGGAAATTGTATAAACACAGTACTCATTCATACAATTATCAAAAATATGTTAAAAAATGAAAAATTGGGTCATTACAAACCTGTAATAATCTGATATTTTTTTCTAGTTTTAATGTGTTCTTTTTTTCTTGCCTGGTTGCTCTCAGTGGGTCTTGTAGTGCTATGTTGAGTGTAAACAGTAGAAATGAATATTCTGTTCTTGACTCGGACCTGAGTCTGTAATCCATTGGCTGTCCTCATGTTTTGAATGTTTAAAATATGAGAAAACTGTGAAACACTAGAAAACAATATAGGAGCTATTATTTATCTCGTTAAAGTAAATGATATATATTTTAACAACACTTCACAGCAATAAAAACAAATATTATAAAATAAAAACCAAAATGAAAGAATGAACAATAGATAAACCCTGAAGATACTAGAAAATGTTAGAAGATAATCAGGAAAAGTCAACATATTCAGAATGTAAGGAACTTTAAAATCTCAAAGCAGTTAAAAAAAAAAAGTCTTGATTTTTATAAAAGAAATTTACCAAAATATTTTTTTTTCAAAAATGACATATAAATGGACAAGAAAATATAAGAATGCTTAAATTTTCTATCATGAATGCAATGAAAACTAAAGGATCAATAGAACAGTTTACTCAGTAAGAATAGCTGGTCTATCCAGATAAAAACAGCTGCCAAGGCTGTACAGTGAACCTATGGATACAGTGAGGATGTGAAATAGCATACCCATAACAGAAGGCAAGATGGCTCTTCATTCAAAGCTTAACAGTGAATGCCTCATGTTCTTGAGTTTCTCTGCACTTAAGACACAGAAACTTCAATATGATTCTATTCACAGGTAAAATATAAACAAGAATCCTGCTTAGTGGGAAAGAATGGATGAGAGGAAGGAACAAGAAAGCCTGATTGAAAATCTTGTGTAATACTGTGTCACAAGGGGTGGTAGAAGAACCAGTTTTGAGATTTTCATAATAAAAAATTAGAAGTTTAGAGACACAGAATATATGGATGTCATGCAATGCGCATATGTCCTGACATGAAGAGACACACTTTATGTGTCAGTTAAAGAGCACTTAACCAGTGGAAGAAAATCAAACTCTGTAAGCTGATAATCTAAACACTAAAATGAGTAGCAAATATCTTTCTGCCTGTTATCATGACAGTGACTGAAAGAAATAAAAGGACCTTGAGCTTGTTTGAGGTTCTACCAGGGGAGCACAGCTACTCTTATACTCTTGACCTAAGATCGGTCCTCCTCTACTCAGGGAATGTTGTCCTTTTCTCCCAGAAGCAGAAAGACAGACATGGTATATACTCACTTATAAGTGGATACCAGATATATAATACAGGATAAACATACTAAAATCTGTACACCTAAGGAAACTAATCAAGAAGAGGACCCTGGGTAAGATGATAAATCCTCACTCAGAAAGACAAATGTGATGGATATTGAAAGAAGGAGAAATCAGGAAACAGCACAGGAGCCTACCACAGAGGGCCTCTGAAAGACTCTACTCAGCAGTATATCAAAGCATATGCTAAGACTCATAAACAAACTTTGGGCAGAGTACAGGGAATCATATGAAAGAAGTGGGAGTTAGTATGACCTGGAGAGGACAGGAGCTCCCTAAATAGAGCAACAGAACCAAAATATCTAGGCACAAGTATCTTTTCTGAGACTGATACTTCAACCAACGACCATTCATTG